GACGGAAAACCCCCGCGAGGGCGGGGCGAACCGGGAGGCATGGTTGACGACCCCAGAGGATGTCGTGGGGGAGCTGCGCCGGTATTGGAGGCTGCAGAAGGAAGCCGAATCGCGTGCGCGGCTGCGGAGGCTTCAATCGAAAGCCCCCGAGGCCTTCACCGCACACGTTGCGGAGCTGAAAATATCGACTTTACTTCATATTATGGAGCAAACCCAGGCGTTTATGCGGCGGATCGGTTTGCGCTTGCACACCCGCATTGAAAGTACCTCTTCGGACGACGTCGTTGCGTCTCGCACGCCGGAGAAGACCCCGATTTGCGGGTTGACTTCGCCCTCAGCGCCGCCCATGCGGGCTCGGACGGCATATGAGCGCTTTGAGGCCTACGTTGCTTCCACCAAAGACGAGTATAAACTCATTCACCCGGTCGAGGTCGTTCTTTCGCAGCAGCCCAGCGGTCTGCAGGGGACTTTAATGCCGCATCAAATGGATGGGTTGCGGTTTCTCGCTTCCCTGCATGCCAACCACATTAACGGCATCCTTGCGGATGAGATGGGGGTTGGCAAGACGATTCAGACGCTCGCGTTTTTGCGTTATTTGAAGGAACAGGCCGCCTTGCAAGGGGTATCCTCGGTCTTTCCCAATTGCTCGCCTGGGGTATGGGATGGGTGGGGGTCTTCCAAATCGCGGTGTCCCCCTCATTTAGTGCTGGCCCCTCTTTCCGTCATTCGCGAATGGCAAAACGCCTGCGAGCAGTTCACCCCTCAGAGCCTACGGGTGGCGTCCTATGGGGAGTTAAAACACCCCATCCGCGACGCCGCGGGCTATGATCTTCTGCTCCTTCCTTTTCACCTCGCGCGGCGGGTTCGCTCGGGGCTTCGTCGGATTCGCTGGGGGTATTTAATCGTGGATGAGGCCCATAAGGCGATTTCCCACCTCAAAACCTACACGGCGCGCGCGATTTTGGGGATTTCGTGCGCCCGCCGCCTGGTCCTGACAGGGACCCCCCTCAACAGCGATCTGCGGGAGTTGTGGTCGTTGTTGTACTTCCTCAACCCCGGCGTCTTCACGGAGGATGCGGCCTTCGAGCGCGTCTTCCGCCGCCCCTTTGAGGCCGCGCGGGCGGGCGAGATGGCCCTTTCCGCGGCCGAACGCGGGCTTATTGTTCGGCGGCTGCATCAAATTCTCCGCCCTTTTATGCTTCGCCGGACGAAAAAAGACATCGACGCGAGCCTGCGGGTGACCTTTCACGCGATTTATTGCCCCCTGACGGCGATCCAAACGAGGCTGTTGGGGCTTCTGCGGACGGCGCGGCGGACGCCGTGGGTGGGCGGCCTCGGCGACAGCGAAACGAAAAAGCCGAAGGACGAAAATTCCCCCCCAAACGACGACGCCGGGGAGGCCACACAGGGGGAAATGGAGGGGCGCTACGGCCTCAGCGGCGCTGCGGTTTCGCAGTCGACGGCGCAGATGCTCTGCAATCACGCCTTTTTGATTCCCTTTTGCCCCCGCGTCCTGGCGCTTCGACCGCGGGGGCCGGACGAGGGGGCCGCGCTCACGCTCGCCTGCAGTGGGAAGTTTCTTCTCCTGCATCTTCTCCTGTCGCGGCTGTTTCTGGCGCGGCGGAAGGCGGTGGTCTTCACGCACTGGCTGGACTCCGTGGATTTGCTCACGGAGTACCTCGCGGGCCGTGGGTGGGGGGACGTTTTCGAGGTCCTGTCCGGGAACACCTCGGAGACGGATCGTCGCCGGCGGGTGCGCCGGTTTCGCGAGGCCCCCGAGTGCCTTTTCTTTATTCTCTCGCTTAAGGCGGGGGGCTGTGGGATAAACCTGCAGGCCGCGCATATGGTGATCCTGCTGGACCGGGACTACACCATGGCGAATGAGGACCAGGCCCTCGCGCGCGTCGTTCGCATCGGGCAGCGCTTCACCGTCCGGGCGCTTTACCTCACGACGCGGGACCCCGCGGAGGGCCGCATCGCCGCCCGCGCGGCGCGCAAAAACACGCCGCGGCAATCCCTCATCGAAGACGGGGATTACCAACGCGAGGCCGCCGCCCCCCCCGCGGGGCCGCCCCCGGCGGAAGGGGCGGCCGAGATGGAGGCCTTCGCCCGGCTTTTCGCGCTGCCCACGCGGGTTCGATGGAGAGGGGG